TTGAGTCACAAGGGTACCCAGGCCAGGCCCAGGGGCTGCTGTCCAGCTGACGCTTCTCTGAAGATTCTGATTCTCTAGGTTGGGGCCCAGGCCAGAGATTCCAGGCAAAATCTGGAAGTCAGAGGTGAGAAGTGGACCAGGAGAGAGGATAGGTTCTAGACTCCTTGGTCTTGAGCATGAGCATTCGTCTGGTGCCCACCTTACCGCATACTCGGGTGGACGGAGTTCATGGCCCCGACACACATGTACCAGCCAGATACTCACCGGAAGGTGTCGATCTTATCCCAAGCCTTTTGTGTCTATCCCTAGAAGCAGACATTGTGGAAACTCAGTACACACTTGGGCTTGAGTTGCGACTGTATCGTATATGTTTTCTGCTATAAATATAAATGGTGACATTGTAAGGAGAAAGGAAAATTAATTTTTAAAATTTTTTTACTATGTGCCTAGCTCTGGACAGTTGGGGCAAGTGACTGTCTTCCCTAACGCCTGGCTCCCTGATATCCAGTGCTTCGCCATGTCCTTTGTCTTGACTTTCAAGTGGCTCCAATTATTTCACCTTTTGCTACACTCGATTGTAGTTATTCACTGAAATTCTGGCTCCTTGTCCAGATGACAAACTCCATGTGGGCAGGGAAGACACGCAGAGTATGCAGCCCAGAGAAGATGCACGGTGAGAGTGTCTCGCTGGACCTCCTCAGGGAGCCCAGGACGTCGTAGCCTTAGTGCCAGTGCTTGGTGGCCAACCCAGTGTTCGTTTCTCTTTCTTTCTCCATCTGCTTCTCTCCTTCTCCCCCTCACTATCGCTCCCACCTTGCCTTTGTCCTCCTTCTGGCTCACTCCTTCCCTTCCTCTCCCTGATTGACCTAAATAATATGCAGCAAGATGGTTCAGTGGCCTGCTGGCCCATGGCTCCAGCAGGACATCCCAGCCACATCCCACTGCCAGGTTGGTGCCACCAGCAGCCTCTGTTTCAAACTGAAAATGTCCTTAGTGCAACTGAGCATTGGAACATTGGTTAGAATACAGCTGGGTGACTGAAAAGCAAGGTATCCTCTGCCCTTTTCTAAAACCTGGTCCCCAGAAAGCAGGAAAGCACATAGGAGCCTTACCAGAGGGAAGTTGATGTCCTGTCCTTGAGAGGGGATCTGGGAAAGACAGGAGTGGCTGCCTGTGCATGTGTAGCTTTCTGTTCTTTCTGACACTGATCAGCCGTACCATGTGCCTGCACTTGACAGCTACTGAATACAGAATAAATAAGACGGACCTTGACGGACTTGTGGCCCAAGGGCAAGGAGGGCAGGGAGAGAAGATAAGGCAGCAGGGCTGCACCCTGCCAGGGCCCTGGGAGCTTCAATCACAGGATTTCAGAGGAAGAGAAAGTCATTTCTGGGAGGAATGATAAGAGAAGGATTCCTGGGAAGCAAATAGATTTCCTTTATTTTTTTAAGTGGAAAGAAAGAAAAAGAATAGAGAAAATAGAAGCACAGTCACGGAAGCAGAAAAATGCAAGGCAGGTATAAATACTGGAGAGGAGGAGTCTGAGGCCCCCTGAGGGTACAGCTCCCCTGGGAGCCACTGGGTGAAAACTGCCAGGCACCCCACTCATCAGGCCGCTCCACGATGTTGCCTGGGGTTTCCTAGTCACTCTGAAACCGAGATGCTGGCTTACTTAATCGAATGTCCAACCAGTCAACACTTCAGTCTTTAAAGTCACGGCTTCTCTTCCTTCCTGTCCCCACCACAGTCTGGTGATTGCAGGTGGACAGCCTGCAATCGGGTCAGTGGCTTCTCTGCTTCCCCACAAGCATGTCCCCCTCTCTGTCTTCTTGCTGACCTCGGACCCTTCATGGCTGCAGATAACAGGAAGAGAGAAGTAACGAGTGCTAGAACAGTCTTTCTTGCCTGGCACTGCCGTGGCGATGTGGCATTAGTATCTTCTGGCTGTGACAAGTGTTTGCAGCTTACTCCTCCTCACGGGACACAACTGTGGTTCCTTTGGAGATCTGCCTTTCTCCCTACCTGGGACTACAAGTCTTTCCTCTTGACTAGAGCCTCTACATGTCCATCTGGTGATCACTGCCTTCTCCTTCAACCTGAGGGCATCTCAAGACACCAGCAGCTTTTTTCTGCTGTGGTCTGTTTACTCTCCACGCAGGCCTCTTGGACAAGATCTACCATGAGCCCCAAGGTCCCTGCTTTAGACCATGTGCCATATTCACACATTTCTTTGCCCCAGCACCCAACGCTGCCATCTCATATGTTTGGCTGTCCAGCAACTAACCAACACCGAGTTCAAACTGCATATTTTCCAGATAGGAGAGACACACACCCTCACTATGCTCCCCAAACTATAAGGGAAAAGCGTCAAGTGCTCCATGTGGCATCGTAAAACCATTCTCTCTTGACTTAGGGTGAAGAGAGGGCTCTCTCTCGCCTGCCTTCTTAGCATCCAGGAGATGAGACAGAAATCATAATTCGCCAAAAGCATATTCCAAAAGTTTTCTTGTCAACCAGCTTTTATAAATCCAAAATATGGCAAAAAGGCTATGAACTGTGTAACCCATTTTTGCCCACTTGTCTTGAAGGTCCTGCATTGTCACGTTCTCATCCTTCCCTTTGAAGCATGCTATGTACCATCCCAGCACTCCAGCCAACACTCCTTTTTAACTTTTTGTTCCACTATTTATTGCCTCAATAGTCACTACAACCCTTTAAATAGATGAAACTATTCCTATCTTTAGGAAACAGGAACTGGACTTTAAAATGATTACCCCATGGAGCTCTTACCCCATGCTAGAATGGAAGATGCATGTGACTTAACATAAGTGCTCAATAAGTATGCATCGAATGACTAAGATTTTGATTTCTTTAGATTATACATAATGTTATTGTCTTGATGCTCCAATACGGAATGAAAAGCTGTTGGAAGGTGCTGAGCTCTGAGTCACAGATGACAGTGACAAACAGGAAAATACAACCAGGGACACAAAAGAAGTCTTAAGAAGCAGAGTGAGAGGGAGAGGCACTTTAGGAGACCATGGGGAAGAGTTTGGAAATAAATTATAAGGGATTTAATGAGATTACTTTGTTAAAGTGATGAGGAAATAAAGGTAGAATCCCAGTTGAAAGACTTTAAAGAGAGAAGAGGCCACAAGGAAACGAAGGAGCAGTTACGTGGATCCCCGCTGTCCAAGATCTCAACATCTGAATGGAGATACAGAAGTCAGTGCAAGCCAGAGAAGGAGTTTTTCCAGAATGAGCAGAATCTGATCTTCATAGAGGAAGAGCCTGGAGGTAGAGAGACTGAAGCAGCTGAAGGCAGAGGGCGGTCCCTGGAGGAGCAGAGGTCAGGGAGGAGGGAAGGCGTGGGGCTGGCAGGACAGAAAATGAAGGACACACCTTCCTCTAAGACGGAGGACAGAGACAGGGTGAGTCAACCCAAAGGAGAGAGAAAGAGCGAGCTGTCTCAGAGATCTGCACTGTTGCCCTAGATCTTTCTCTCAGTAAAACGGAAATCGAACTAATAGATCCAGATTTGAGGACAACTAGCTGTAAACCACAGTATTGGAGGGGCCTTTGAAACATTTGCTGTACCACGTGTATCCTGAAAGCCAATGTGGAAATCCATAAAGGATCACTGCGTAACCAACCATCCAGGTCCCAGAGGGCTCACAGCCTGCACTGAGAGAAGCCCGCATGCACAGTGTTCTTCAGCCAAAGAGCAAGAAGAAAGGAGGTGGCTTAGGTCAGGTAGGAGCCCAAGCAAGGCACACATCAGCATGTGCTGATGGGTGAGAGAGACTAAAGTCTCTAATCATGGCGACCAGACCCAAGAGAAATCCAAGGTCCCCCTTTCCAGTTATCCCGGGAGGTTTCAAAGGTGGTCGAGGAGAAGTGGGGAACATGCACGTGAAGAAGCAGCAGTTACACATCAGGCTACCCAGGCGGATCAGTCCCTAGGGACCCTCAGACACAGGGGTGCCCTCGTGCCTTGTGGTGCTTAAACCTCTGCCATGACATCGGAAGACAACCTTGAGTCAGGAACTAGGAGACAAAAAAGTGGTGATGTATGAGAAGCAGGTCTTCAAATTCTGAGAACCAGAGACCAGGGGCACTGTAGCTGATCAGAACTCCTACTTTACCCTTTCTGCAATGCTCATTTTTATTTATTTAAAGATATGAATGGGAATATTTTTCAGCAATGATATGATGTAGTTGCCTTAAAATTGTAGGTGTTGTTTATAGATTATTTCTATCACATGTATAGCCTCTTATTTGAAATAAAGTGAGCAGAGACCTTGTTCAGAGTAGCACATCTGAATGCAACTGTATTTAAACTTTCTTTGAAAGATTATTAGTTATAATTCCTTCTCAAATCTCAAGGGAATAATGCCATAGTAACCATTCATAAAAACACAGTGAAAACATGATTGTAGCTTCTTTTTGGTCTCCTCAGCCTGGCAGACAGTTATAGTAAAAATCTTGTCGGACCTTTGCCTACCAAATCATAAGGTCTCTAGTTACCAAACACAATGCACTGGAAAAGCAAGATTATTAGAGTCTCTGGGGGAAGGAATAAAAATCTGTTACACCTAAATCTCTACAAGAAAATGGAGTAAAATAATCACTTGAATAAGGTCACAATGTGAATTGGAGCTGTAGATGAAAATCTCCGTCTACTCTTTAGGAAGTTCATTGAATACCCCACTTACCTAGCTCAGAAGTACACGCTTGAGATATCAAGATAAGCAGTCATCAGCCTGAGCAAAGCCCCAGAATTGGCCCCTGGTTGGCCCTTCCCAGCTCCTTGAACTTTAACAAAAGCTACTTTGGGAGACAGTGAATAAGATCACGTGGTGCCCCTGCCACCACTGGGCCAACCTCAGCTAAGTCTTGAACAAAAATCCTTCAGGCAGGAATTGAGAATTCCAAGAAGGAACTCTAAGGTTTCTTTTCAAGCGTAACACCTTGTCTTCTGGCTCTCCTCTCCCTCGCAGCTCAGAATGTCCTGGCTCATCCGTGGAGCCTTAAGGGGAAACGTGTCCTTGGTGCTGGTGGAGAATAAAACCGGCAAGGAACAAAGCAGGATGGTCTGGCACGTGGCCACCAACAAAGACTTGAGCTTGTGGCAGTGGACAGTGCTTCCTCTCCTCAACGTGTCCGACAGGTGAGCCTCTACCCACCCGCTCTACTCCCTTTCTCTGACAGCTGCATGCCGAAGCTGGCCATGTGCTCCTTCCTTCCATGCCCTTGACTCTAGACCAGTGATAGCAAATCCTTTAGAGCTTTCAATGAAACAAACAGCCACTGTGGCATGCTTGCCCTAGACAGACACGCATTCACACCCATGCACGTGTGCACACACAGGCACACGTGAATATGCACAGTTTCTGCAGGTCACTGAGACCACAACATTCTCCCAGGCATTCTGGTGTCAGTGAGAACGCATCTTCTGCTCTCACCTGGCCTGACTGGCTGCCTACAGCACCTCTAGGAAGAACTAAAACTGAGAACTGACATTACCCCCCAGTTGTAATCAGGCTTTATATGTATATAGCATTTTCTATCTGATGAGTTTTGCCTTACTTTGCTCCGTGACCTTGAAGAAGATCTTTATTTCCTTGAGCATGTTTCCTCGTCTTTAAACAGAAAGGATTGGGCTAGAAAATCATTAACTCTGCGGGCTCTGAAGTGGAGCAGTAACCTGCGGGGTTCAGCTGCTCCTTGTCTCCCCAGGATAGCACTTTTCTGCCACCTGCAGTCAGCCCCGGCACAGCAGTGCTCCTGGGATGCTCTGCTATTCATACAGATGTTGGTGCTGACCCCTGTTCCAGACCAACAAGGAATCATTTCTTTGAAGGAGACCGATAGATGGACCAATCAGGAAACCCACCTTTTATAAGCTAAACATAAAACTAAGTAATTCTGCATTAGTTTCCTAAAACAAGCACATTATCATCCTAGTGGATCTACCTTTAAAAAACGAGGGCCAAAAGCTGGAGGGAAGTGGAGGGTGGTTCCGGCTGGCGTGCAGCCTTGTAGATGTGAATCTAGGTTTCAGACTCGTCCTGCACTTCACAGAGTCTGCATCCCCCAGAGCTCGTAACAGAAGCTCTGTCCTTACTGAACATCAGCTTATTCACGCCTCCGGATGTGTGTGAGTTAATGATCAAAGCTCGTGGACATCCTGAGGCTGAGTGACCCCAGGACAAATGGATTTAATTAAAGTGGAAAAGAGGAAAAGTGGACATTGCCCACCACAGAGCAGTCTTTTGCTCTTTGGGCTCGGGAGGGCTGTGCACCGGGAAGGGAAAAATTGAGGGTGATGCCCCAGCCTCCCTCCTGGGAGATGCAAAATTAATTGAAATGAATCAAATGGTTCTTTCTTTTCTATCCAGTGAGCCCTCTCTCTTTCATAGCCGCTCCTGGGGATTTAAAGCAAGTAAGAAGTTGATGGTGTTCACTCCCATACAGTTTGTACAGAGGAGACTTTGTTCTCAGCCTCCCTTCTCCCTGTTAAAGGCTGTTACCAGATTGACATTTTCAGTATTGGTACTGCAACCAAACTCTCCAGTGGGGATTCAGACAAAGACCAGCTTGGTTTCATGATGCTTCATGACCCAATAAGTGTGCAATTGTAGTAAACAAGAGTGCCTCTATTCTTGGGGGACCTGCATGCCACTGGCTTACTCTGTGGCTGCTGTGACCCTCCCCTAGACAGAGGTAATATAGGAGGTGGTGAGACCCGAAGCAAACAGAATTGCAGGAGAAATAAAGCCAGAAGTTTTCACTTATTGAAATCAAACTAAACTATAAATGTGGCCCATAAAAATCAAGACACTATGAGATGAAAGTGCATAGGCTTTAGAATCAGATCACCACAAATTTTAAAACTGGCTCATCTACTTATTAACCTTTCTGAGCCTCAGGAAGACAGTGATTTTCAGGGTGCCTTCCAGACCCTTTAATAAGACCTTTGCTTGGGTCCGTGTGTGCCCTGTCCAACCTGCCCCTCCTTGTACCATTCTCCTTCAGGAAAATGATTAATGTTTCAGAAGATTATTCATGTAACTCCCAGGGTCTACGACCAGTGTCTTCAGCCCAATAGCTCTTTAGGACTAACTTCAAAGCCCTGATAAAACTGCCTTTTAAAGTGTTACCATGGAAATTGGAGAACCTGGGAGCAAAGGTGATAATAATAATCGTACAATTTTACAAGATTGTTATGAATTATTATCAAAAAATTCCATGTATCATGGCTATCTAGGAACCTGATTTCCTGCCTCTTTCATCCTCATGCCTTTGGTATGTGACCTCGTGATTAGCTTATTGAACAAATAACACAAAACACAACAACTTCTCTTTCAAGTTGAGTCATAGTCTATCAAACAAAAATAATACAGTTTCCTCTTGAGTTTAGGGAAATAAATTCCTTGGTGAACTTCACTCCATAACTGGTAACGACTGCTTAAAACAACTATGAGACAATTACGACACCGTCTCCCCATCCAGTGCCTCCGACAAGTTCGGAGTGTCTAACTTAGTAATAAAAACCAGTTGTTCAGCTCTAAGATAAAACAGGATTCTTAGGAATTTGTTGTTACCTCAAGAGAGAAGTCCCTAGTGGAGAAAGGGCAAGAGACAGATTCTTCTCTTTTCCTGGAGCCCTTAAGAAAATGGAAGAGATCAGAGTAAGCAAATGAATAAGAAAAAGAGAAAAATACAAGGGATGAACCACAGAAGCCCACTCCTTCCTCTCCCCGCTGATGTAAGCATTAACAGTATGCAGTGACACTCCCTTAGGCAACGCCTGGCTCCCTCCATTCAGAACCTGCTTTGTGGACAGCTCCCCTCCTGTATCTTGAAAGTGACAGATTATCCCTGTGCTCCTCCAAACCAAATCGCCTCTGCTCCCAGGTCCCCAACTTCCATTACGTTTTTAAAGGCAGTTTTTTCAGGACTTACAAGTTACACCTAGAGAGCTCTTGGGCTGGAGACACTAGTCACAATCCATGGGCACTACATTGATAGTCTTTTGAAACATTGATCATTGTCCTGGATTCCTGTTATGTTTAGGAAAGTGTTATAGTAAAATATACATTGCCATTCCTCCCTTTTGGAATACTGTTCCTTGCTTCAAACACACTTGTTCTATAATTCTCATCACAATCTGAAGCAGTCCTTCCATGGGCATCTTCACAGTGTGTTGAGGAAAGGAGAATGCCACTGCCAAGTGCCATCCAACAGAAAGGCCCGCTCATAAAAACACCGCAGTGTGCTGTATTTTGTGATCATACCTCATGTCCTTGTAAATTCCAAATGAGTAAAATGAGAATTTCACTTGACGAAATCCATATAACATCCTCCATCTGTTTAACCTGTGTCTAACCAAAGGCATAAAATCATGTTGTGTTTATATTGCAAAGAATTCTGTATGTAAAAACAACACTTGTGTACTATCAGAGGAGCCAATGCAGCATTTATCATTCTTGCAACAAGGAGCTCACTTTAGGGACTTTCCTAGAGCCTGTTCTTTCTTTGTCTCTGGTCACTGTCCTGTCGGAGTCACTTTATAAAAAAGACTTTGATCTTAATTGTGTGCCTGTTCCTTGTCAGTAGAAAGCTGGAGCTGAGCACTTGAAACAAAGGGGCTGTAAGCAGACTCCCCCCAACACACAGTCCTCCTTCCGCAAGGCTCAATGACTGTGCCCCAGGTATTGAAAAACTGGCAACAGGGAACATTGATCCACAGCATGATATTCCTCCTGCCCATTTACAAACAAGCGAAGTGGTAAAAGTAATATAAACGTCACCATTATAAAATTATGGCAGCTCTACAATGTACTGTAAAGAGTAATGAGGAAAATTTCCAAGAGCTGTGCCAAGATGTTTTGAGCTGTGTCAACACCTCTGGAATACAGACACAAGTTCTCAGAGTAATTTTGAAGGATGACACCAATTCAAATATTGGCTCGATGCATGCTAATCTTAGTTACTTTTCTTGTTGCTGAGTCAAAATACCTGACACCTGCAAGTGAAAGGAGAAAAGGTTTATTTCATCTCAGTTTGCGGAGGTTTCAGTCCATAATCCCCTGAGTCCAAGACAAGGTGGCATGGCACAGGGGATCACAACGGAGAAATAGTCCAAGCAGAGCTGGCAGGAGACAGCAGCAGCAACAGGCTAGGCTTTTCCCTTTGTCACACCCAGGGTGTAAGATTTTGGGTGGTGCTACATATACCAGGTTGGGCCTCCCCATTATCCACACCAGAACTATGATAAACAATTAGTGGATTAATCCAGTACCATACACCCTTAATCCCAGGATCACACATTGATCATCTAGCTACCCAAAATTCCAGTCTATGAGTGTATGAGGCTTTAGGGGGACATCTGGATAGCTGGATACAAATCACGAGTGCTTAAATATAATTTATTACTACTATATTTTTCTGCATTCTCTCTGGCCCCCTCATAAGCCTCTCCCAATCACTTATCAGTCCGTCTGCTGGAATTAAAACTACCTTTTCTCAAAATGGAAGCAAGGCAAGTTCTTGCCCTCTGTTCTAATTGTCAGTCTCTGGTGAGGACACACTTCTGTCTTTCCTCTTTGTGATCATTTATCTTGCTAACCTAAGTGCAGTGTTCCTCTGTGATCCTAAGCTTTGATAGTGCTTACAGAGCAGAAGCTACGAAGTTCAACTCATCACGAGGTGGATTGGGAAATACCATGGATCAACTCACCGCCCACAAATCACTGCAATTGTTCATAACTTATCATCCCGCACTATCATCAGGAAGGCTTTTAGCTTTGCACTGTATACATAATTTAACAAGAAAGAAATGTCCCCTCTGGAGATATTTAGATACCGTGTTCCTTTTGCATTCTCTGTCCTAACCGACAAGTGAGATGTTTCACAAATGCATCTTTCAAACAGGATCAGTTAAACCAAGAGTTATGTTTTCCTGTATTCAGTTCAAAAACTCCAGAGCCAAGATTCCTTTTTTCCTAGTCAATCATTGTTTATCATCCACAAAATCTCCGTCTTACGTGGGGAGATACTGATAACGATACTCTTTGTGCAGCATCTCTCGGAGGTGAGATATGCATTAGCGGGGGCACTTTCATTATTCTTTCCTGCCTCTGCAGAGAAGTGGTAGATTTGAGT